GAGCGTTTGTTTTGGTGTGACTCACTTCTTGACTACATTGAAACTGTAACTTTTGATGGAACTGGCAGAACTGCTATTGTTAGAGGTTTGTTGATTTTATTCTGTATCTTATTTGGTAGCTGATAATTTTTTCTCCTTTTATTACCTAGGTATGCAAATGCTTGATTTAAAATGTATTTGAGTGCAGATGATTATATTTTCCCAATTGTTGATAGGCAAGTGCCATATCAAACTAAAGGCAGCAAATAAAAAGTTTTATCTTTTACAGGGTCAACAAATGTGCCAGCACCAAACAGATTAACCTTGTTTGAAAGCAGAATATATTGGACGGACAGTACTCGCCAGGGTGTCATTAGCATTGATAAATATAATGGAGTAACATCAATACGTGAAGTATATCGCAATACTAACAAGACTGAAGATCCAAGAGCAGTCAAAGCTGTCCATGGTTTAATGCAACCAGGAGGTGTGTACATAAGCAGTTGTTCAAAATGTTGTGAAAAACTTAAATTTAAGTTTTTGTTAAAAGATTGCAGACTCAATTTTTCTGTCTCCATGTATTTATGTTTAACATTTTTTCAGTGCCAAATCCATGTGGAAGTGACAATGGAGGATGTCAGCACATGTGTATAATTACCCATGCCACTTCTGGTATAGGATATCGTTGTGCCTGTGATATTGGATACAAATTGAATCCTGATGAAAAGAAATGCTCATGTAAGTAGGAATGTTTATCTGATGAGTACTGGTATTTATCCTGAAATTTGTGTAATTCTTCAACATAGATTTCTATACATAGATAAAAATGACAGATGTCCTCCTTTCATAATGAAGATCAGTAAAATGTTGGGTTTTCTTAATAATAAGTATTAGGTGATTGCTTGATCATCAGTTACAGGATCCATTCCTGAAATCCAAAGAATATGTTTGTAAAATAAAATGGATAATGCTATATTCTTTCTTTTTTACAGTGGTCACAGAATTTCTGATGTATTCACAACAGAAGTTTATTAAAGGACAGGTTTTAGACCCAGTCTCTGAAAACTTCAATGATGCTATCAACCCTATTGTATCCAGAGCAGCTAGATTTGTTGGGCTTGACTTTGATGCTCGTGGTGACTACATCTATTATTCAGATGTTAGTCTTGATGTGATTTACAGGGTCAAAAGGAGAGGAACAAGTGAGTGTCTTTTCACATTCTTTCTGTTTATTTTTTATGGTAATTGAAGCAATTAATATAAAATAGAAACCCTGTAATGTCATTATTCATTATTTTCCTTTTTTCTTTTCCTTCAGATCGTGAGAATTTGTTAGCCACTCAAAATGAAGGTGTAGAGGGACTGGCATTAGACTGGATATCCCAAAATCTATACTACATTGATAGCAGAAAAGGCACCCTTAATGTTCTTTCAACTAAGAATTCAGAAAACAGAAAAGTGTTACTCAGTGACTTGAAGCGTCCAAGAGCTATTGTGGTCCATCCTAACAAAGGGTAAGTTCTTGTCTAATGAGATTTAAGAAATAAAGATTGAAGACATTCTTGTCAGAATTTTTTTCATAAATTATTATGATAGATTTGTCAAATGTTTGAAGCTGTAAGATCTTTGTATCATTTTTAGTTGTTAAAATTAGTAAAATAATGTTCTCCTAATTTTTGTCTTTTCCTTTTTTTTTACGTTTTTCTTTTTCTTTCTTTCTCCTTAGATATGTATTTTACTCTGAATGGGACCGTCCAGCTAATATTAGCCGCGCCTTCCTTGATGGCTCAAATGTGATGGTCTTCCGAAATGTACTTCTTGGTTGGCCAAATGGTCTGTCAATAGATTACCAGACAGACCGTATTTACTGGTGTGATGCACTTCTTGACCATTTGCAGCATGCTAAATTGGATGGAACTGATGTGCAGACTATCAGTTCTGCAAGCATCAAACACCCATTCTCACTTGTTATTTTTAATGGTATGTACAGTAAATTACCATATGTGAAACAAGTAAATACATATTATCAAGGTATCAGAAATCAAATGAATTATGTTTTAAAGCCCGGTGAAGTAATTTGCATGTGCAAGATCAAGAAGAGATTTTTTCATAGTATGTTCTTTTCTCATTTTCCTAGATTGGTTATATGTAACTGACTGGCGCCATGATGCAATTCTTCGAATGAACAAAACTGACGGTTCTCAGGAGAAAGTAGTTGCAGAGGTAGCTGAGAGCAATCGACTGTATGGAATTCGTGTCTACAGTCAAAGAGCTCAGGACATCAGGGATGACCATCCGTGTAAGGGTAATAACCCATGTGAAAAGTTCTGTTTCCCAGTGCCGGATGGTGAGACTGAAAACCTTAAAGCCCAGTGTGGCTGTCCAGTGGGAGAAAAGATGAACAATGACCAGAAAACTTGTTCAGTAGACCCTGAAGCTGAACCACCTGTTGAAAGATGTGCTCCTTGGGATTTCAGTTGTTCTAATGGTCGCTGCATTCAAAAGACCTGGGTCTGTGATG